CCATGGCTGGCCTTGACTCACAGGGCAAATGGGAATTTCAAGTAGGGCCAAACATTTTCCCATATTACATTCTATAGTGGGATTTTCGATGAAGCAAAGTTTTATTTAGAGATTGTTTGACCTTGTTTTCGCAACATGATCATATTGATAGGAAGACTTAGCGGAACGGCTTGTTTTGATTTGGTTCAATGTTGAGTCACAACATTTGTGGGTTGGTACACAAGAGACTAGAGCATGGTAAATCATAGACTTGGTATTAGGGATAAAAAGAGGATAGAGACGGTGGGGACCGGAGCTAGTTGGTTTACGGTAGTTCTGTTGTACCAGAGACGTGGTACATGTAGTAAGGGGTGACCATGACATTCAGAGGCTTGCGCCTCGAATTAGTCACCCAGACGCAGAGGGCGAATAACGCCTCGAGTAGGACAGATGTGGTGGCAGGAGTCGATTGAAATAGGTAAACAAGGGATAATGCAGACGGATTTTACCGAGCAAGTGAGAGACTGTGATAAGACTAGGGAAGAGGAATGCATAATAATAAAGCAGACTCTGATCAACATTCTCTGCACAAGGATGAAGGGGGGGGTGAGAACGACAGTTAGTGTGAAGGTGTCATGTCGCTCAAAGGAACACACCCCACTATCTAAGTAAACATGGTAAAAATTGTTATAGTGAAGGCATGATAGGATGCTACCGGAAACGCGGATAATTTAGGGCAGAAGGGGAGATACCACAATTGTTTAGCACACGTTTGGTCTAAGGGTCGACTTCACTTGTCTCTTTGACGAGTTGTTGTATGGTGCTAAGAATGACGATACTCAGTGACGATGCTGACGAAACGTTTGGGAATGTACCACGTCCACGGTTCAACTTTGGAAATGATCATGCAGATAATGGACTCCGTACAAGGTGCGTTCCTCTAAGTTTTCCTACCAGTATGACCATGTTGCGAAAACAAGGTCAAACAACTTCTATACAATGAAAGGAGACTGCGATCACACAAAAGGCCACACCATCTTGGTCTTCATACCTTTAAAGTTTTATTTACTGAAGTAATAGACTACATTACTTATTGAAGTTGTTTGACCCTGTTTTCGCAACTCTGTCATATTGGTAGGAAGACTTAGAGGAACGCATCTTGTCTGGAGTCCATTGTATGCATAATCATTTCCAA